ACTGAAGCAAGTTCAGAAAAGTGATCATTTAGGAGAACTGTGCCCTGCTTCCTGTATTGTAACCCCAGGAAAGGGACAAGAGCCAAATAGGTGATGACTGCACAGTATGTCGGACAGATAGAGCCAAAAACAATCTACCTGCTCTTTCCATACCACCAGCGTACAGAGCATCTGAATGATTTTCAAGCCCTCAAGCATAGGAAGAGTGTACTAGAGAGGGCAGCTGGATATTATAGAGACAGTTACAAAGTAAAAATAAGAGGCTTAGTTTCTCCCACTGAAAATAAAAGAGACATCTTCTTTTCTTCTTCTTTAATCGTGTATTTTATTTTTTAAAATAAATTTTGTATATACTTGAGGGTTTGTTTTTGTTTTGCTTTGCTTTTGGGGAACAAGGATGGAACCCAGGGGAGCTTAACAACTGAACCACATCCTCAGCCCGTTTTTTAAATATTTTATTTTGAGACAGGGTCTTGCTGAATTGCTTAGGTCCTTGCTAATTTGCTGAGGCTGGCTTTGAACTCGTAATCCTCCTGCCTCAACCTCCCGAGCCTCTGGGATTACAGATGTGCACCACCCATGCACAGCTATTTGAGGTTTAAAACACGATGTTGTGGGATACATGTAGATAATGAAGAGTTACTGTAGTGAAGCAAATTAGCTTGTCTATCATCTCACATAGTTACTTCCTTTGGTGACAAGAGCACATAAAATCAATTTACTTAATGAAAATTCCAACTATCAACCAGAGTCTTCGCATTATACATTAAATCTCTAGACTTGTTCATCCTGCATCTCTGCTACTTTGTATCCTGTAACTTTCATCTCTCTAATTTCTTCTCCCCATCCCCACCCTCACCCAGGTAACCATTATTTTATTCTCTAACTCTGTATGTTTAACATTTGGGGTTCGTAAAAGGATTCCACATATAAGTAAAATCATGCAATATTTTTCTTTGTGTCTGGCTAATTTCACTTAGCATAATGTCCTCCAGGTCCATCTCTGTTGCAGCAAATGGCAGGATATGCTTTTTAAGACGAAGTAATATTCCATTGCACACACATACTACATTTTCTTTAGCCATTCATCCATTGATGGACGTGATGGTTGTTTCTATATTTTTGGCTATTTTCATTACAATGCTGCAATGAATGTGGGAGTGCAGATATCTTTAAGTAGTGGTAATTCCATCTCTTTTGGGTATATACATAGAAGAGGGATTGCTGGGTCATATGGCAGTTCTACTTTTAATTTCTATTGGAATCTCTATATTGTTCTCCATAATGTATGTACCAAACTAATTTCCAACCAACAGTGTTCCTGGCTTCCCTTTTATCCACCCTTGTCAACATTTGTTATCTCCTATCTTTGTGATTATCATCGTCTAAAGAGTATGAGTGGTAACCCCTGATGGTTTTAATTTGTATTTCCCTGATGATTAATAATGTCGGGCACCTTCTTTTATACCTGTTAGCCATTTTTTATGTCTTCTTTGCAGAAATGGTCTAATCCTTTTCTCATTTCTTATATAGATTATTTGTCTTTCTGCTACTGAGTTGTAAGAGTTCTTTCCAGCCAGACATGGTGGCACACACCTGTAATCCCAGCAGCTCAGGAGGCTGAGGCAGGAGATCACAAGTTGGAGGCCAGCCTCAGCAATTTACTGAGGTCCTAAGCAAGTTGGTGAGACATTGTCTCAAAAAAAAAATTAAAAAGGCTGGGGATGTAGTTCAGTAGTTAAGGGCCTCTGGGTTCATCCCCAATACCAAATAAAAGAGTTCTTTACAAATTTTGGATATATACCCCCATCAGATTTGTGGTTTACAACTTTTTTCCCCCAATCCTAAGGTTGCCTTTTCAGTTTTGCTGATCGTTTCTTTTGCAGAAGCTTTTTAGTTTAATGTACTGCTCGTTTATTTTTGCTTGTGTAGACTGGACCCCTAACCCATTTCTTCTGGAGAAAGAATGAGAGAGAAATGAAAGGGAATAAACTTATATGTGTAACAGTGCTTCCCAAATATGCAGCGTTTTAGACTGGCTGGGGGACATGTTTTTTACTATCTGTTTTTGTTTTTACAATTCTGGTGCTCAGGCCACATCCTGAGCTCGTGAAGTCAGAATATCTGGAAAAGAGATGCACTCACTCATCACTATTTTTTAAAGTTCTTCAAGGGATTTCAGTGTGCAGACACAGAGACATCCTGTGGCTTTCCCTAGAAAGAAGTCTTGGACCACAGCATGTTAGCAGTTGTGAGGTCTGTTATAACTAACTTTCCTATGAATAAGGTACACTTTTAATAACTAGAAATAACCTGTTCCTATTAAGGAAGTAATTTTAAAAACTACAGTGAATGGGGCTGGGGATATAGCTCAGTTGGTAGAGTGCTTGTCTCGCATGCACGAGGTCCTGGGTTCAATCCCCAGCACCACAAAAAATAAATAAATAAAAATAAAAAACAAATCCTACTCATTAAAAAAAAAGAAGAAACTGCAGTGAAGTTATAATCATCTATAAGATTGACACCCTTGCCCATTGGAATTCTGATATGGTATCTGAGGCATAAGAGAATAGGATGTAACTATGGCTAATACACAAAGAATTCCATGAACCCCTCCCAATTTTGCATGGACCATAGTCTTGATGAGATATTATTACTGATTTTTTAAATAAAAAGTAGGATATTTTTGTTTTGTTTTGTTTGCAGTACTACAGATTGGATCCAGGCCTTTTAACATCCTAGGCAAACACTCTACCACTGAGCTACATCCTCAACCCTTCTTTTATTTTTTGATTGATTAATTCATTGACTGATCTCACTAAGTCACCCAGGCTGGTCTCTAATTTGTCATTCTCCTGCCTTAGCCTCCTATGTGGCTAGGATTGCAGGCATGTGCCACCATGCCTGGGTAGGACCAGTTTTTTTGAAAAGCAGTGTAGCAGTATTTTTACTTGAAAAGGGTATTCAAGATCTTGCCGGGTGTGGTGGCACACACCTGTAATCCCAGAAGCTCAGGAGGCTGAAGCGGGAGGATCACCAGTTCAAAGCCAGCCCCAGCAAAAGCGAGGCACCAAGCAACTCAGTGAGTCCCTGTCCTCTAAATAAAATACAAAATTGGGCTGGGGATGTGGTTCAGTGGTCAAGTGCCCCTGAGTTCAATCCCTGGTACCCCTCAAAAATTTTTTTAAATAAAAAAATGTAAAATCTCATTAATGTTTTATTTTGATTACTATATTTTAGACATATGGTGTTAAAATAAAATGTTAAGTTAGCTTCACTGTTTCTTTTTACATCTTTTGATATGCTTATTCGAAAGTTTTAAATCACTTCGTGGTTTGCATTTATGGTCCATGCTGTATTTGTAATAGCACTTTGTGGGGTTCATAGGAAATACCTAGGAAATCTGTTCAAAATGAAGATTGCCAGGACAGGGCTCCGAAGAATCTAGTTTAGTTCTCTGTTTTAGGCAGAGTTAACAGAAGCTCCTATAAAGCAACAGGAAGCATTTAGTTTATTGTTCCTGAATTTAATGTAAGAGTTTAATTCATCACGTTCTTCTTTCTCCTCTGCTTCCAATGCCTCATTCTGTTCATATGTCTCAGTTTTGATCACTAAGAAAGGGAATCGTTTTGGCCTGGGTGGTCATCAGTGGCCCCTCTTTCATCAGAGCTTCTTGTATCAGGCTATCTTATAAGTCTCTGAACAATTTATGGAGTTGTGACTGGCAGGGAGTGTGGAGGAGATGGATCCATCCAGAAATGATCTAGAAACTCTCCCTTCCACAGGAGTTGGGGGTGAGCCATCTTGGCTTAGAAAGGATTGTGGGAATGCCAGGTACAGATTGATCTGGCCAGAAGTAAACTAATTCAGAAATTGTAAAAGCTAGATGTATATGCAAAGGCCCCTGTGAGCGCTAGAGCCAAGATCTGTGCTCCATATAAAATTCAGCCAAGCCACTCTACGAGTGACCACAACAGATCCATCCACAAAAAAAAAAAAAAAAAAACACACATTTCAGCCACATCTAACAAGCAGCGTGCCAGATGGAACAAGGAATTTAAGTGGGAAGAGAGATACTGCAGAGGCAGATGAAGCAATGAAATACAGCCAAGCAATCAAAGTTCCTGCCAGCCTTAGTCTACTCACCTTTACAGGCCACAGAATGTCAGGGATTGTGAAGATTGAGTGGAATCAGAGACACAAAGTACTCCCTATCTTGGAAGATCACAAGTGGTGTGTTCTAGGTATGAGTTGTCACTAATTGCATGTTTACTAATGAAGAAGTGATCTCTCAGTAAATCGGCCTCTCCAGGGACCAAAATGGTTCTATTTCTTCCACCTTGTTCAAACACTGGTCATGTTAAGTCGTGGCTCCCACACTCTATGAGCAGTTGCCACTAGCCTTGGCTTTACCTGAAATATGCCTTTTGTGATTTACCTCCATACATCAAAATCTGCTATCAGGTCCGCAGGCCACGGAGAGTTGCCCAGTTGAGAGAAATAGCCAATCAGGTCTGTGGCTAATGACAATTGTCGATTTCGTCTGATGGTAACTTTTCCCAATCACTGTCAGAATATTTATGATTTACAACATACATATCCCAAAGATCAACCACAGCCTTTCTGTTTAAAGAATCTAAATGGTGAGAAAAACCATAAAAGAAAAAAATTTAGCTATCCTCTATGGGCCCAGATTTTATTTCCATCTTGGGAAAAAACAAAACAAAACATAATTTTCTGAATGTTATGCCCCATTTCCTTTCCACACAATGAATGAATCCCCCCCCCTTGCCCCCAACACGTGCTCAGGAATGACTGAGGGTCTTTTTAATTCCCTTGCCTTCGTGGAGATTCTGCCATTTCTACAATACCAGTGACAACAGGAATGCATGATGGGCCCCCTTATTGGCAAACCTCGATGAAAAAACCACAGGGATTTCCGAGGCTTCAGGAAAAGGAGCTCTGCGTCTTTAAGGCTCCCCGCGCGGGGCGCCTGCTCTCAGCGACGCAGACGGGGCAGGCTCTGCCGCAGCGACTCATCCTATCGATAAGGTTCAGTTAGCCAAGGTGGAGGATGGGAAAAGAATGGAAGTGTCCCAGCACCTCAATGAGATCAGGGCAAACTATGAAAAGCTCCTCACCAGCAATCAGATAGAGACGGTGCTCTCAGCAAGGCTCCAGGTAATGATTTCATACAGACAGGCACCTCCCAGGATAAGGAGACAGTCCATGTCTACCCAATTCCTGTCCCGGCCTCTCTGAGGTACAGTATTTCCTTTTCAATGCAGCATATACTGGGGAAGGAGCGTAGGTTTTACTGCAGTGGGACTGGAATGACAGGGGGAAATACTGTGATTGCACTGTTAAATGGCCATTCAATAAATGTTGATCGATGCATTTGATTTTTGTGATGAATGATATGAGGTTACGGTTATTAATAAAACATGAGGTCAACAAGCCATAAAACGGTGCCCTCTGACCTTCTTGGGATGTTCTTCAGGAAGGATGCATTTCCAATAACCCTTCAAAGAAGAGTATGGAGTTATTTATAGAAATTATTCCAAGGATAGTCTTTTAAAGGAAAGCTTTAGGAGTAAGAGTCGGTGGCGTGAATGCTTTCTGGAGATTAAAATGTTTCTAAAAGGTTTCTATGATCTTTTTAATGAGTTCGGTTTTATATTAGACTGTTATAAAGAGAAATCATCTGAGTAGGGAGCATGGCATTCAGAACCATTGATATAAACTCTGACAATCAAAATTTCCCAAATTTTGCTAAGGGACATTTAAGGGTATAGATTTTTTTGTTTTGTTTTGTTTTGCACTGTCAGAAATGTTTATTTCCAATATGTTGGCATATTGCATGTGGCTTGAAATATGTATTTTAAAAAGAGAGAGAGCCAACTTAAAGGCTAAATCCAGATTTTACAAACTTACTTTTAAGATAACAATCACCTTTAGCAATTAATTAAGGTCTCAAGTCTTGAAACAAATATTCAAAAATTTGGAGATTTTGTTTCAGGGGTTTGTTTTGGTTTGTTTGATCATATCTGAGTTCAAATTCTATTTCAAACATCCAAATACATCAGAAAGTTTACTTACGAAGGTCACCAAAAGAGAAATAAATATTGCTAGGAAATCACAGGTCTTTATTCCATTAGCAACTCGTTTTACTAATATAAATTTTACCTCTGGGTAACATTTTCAATCTTCATAAAGAATGATCATTACCTGAGTCTAAGCAAAGTCACTGAGAAACTTAATTTAAGTGTTAAAATAGTTTACTCACCTTTTACAATAAGAAGGCAAAAAAATATATTAGATGACAACTTCTTAAAATTATAAACCCAATAAGTAATTTGTTTTGCAAGAATGGAAAAAATATAAGTTTAGTTTGCAAGACTCAATGCTGAAATGAATAAATCTGAATAAAAAAGTAATTAAGTTTAGTTCAGTGTCTTAATATAAAAGTTTAAAGATTTTATTTCCCAAATTATTCAGGAAAGTCAGATGGAATGAGTTCAAAAAAAGCCTGATTATTTAATTATCACAAAATAAACACAAGGTTCTGGGTTCATTCCAGGACAAAAAAAAAATCATAAAATAAAGAAACATAAGCTATTTGGTTACCAATCACTGTATAATAAGTCACCCCCAAAACCCAGTGGATTAAAATAGCCATGGCATTCTGTGTCATGATACTGTGGAGTGACAAGGCTCAGTTGGGGAATTCTTCTACCACATTCGGTGTTGACTGGGATGCAGTGCTCAGAGCGCACCTGGCCTGAAACCACCAAAGGGGCCCGTTTATGTGTTTGTCACTTTGGCCTTCATTGTTAGATTGGCTCAAGTTAGGACAACTGAGCCTGTGTCTCACTCCACATAGCTTCAGGGACTCTCTCCATCTGGCATATCTACATCTCTCCAACAGAGTATCCAAACTTGTAACATGATGGTCCTGGGCTCCCAGAGTATAGAAAGGGAAACTGTCAGGGCTTTTTATGCTTTAGCCCCAGAACTGGCCCAGTATCAATTCTGCCACCTTCTATCAGTTGAAGTGGGAATCTCACTACCTCCCAAGTTTAGCTGCTGATTCCATACTCAGAATCCAAAAGACCAGTGGACATCAGCATTTTTAATGCTTTTACAGTTCCAAGTTTCTTCACGTCCTGTTTGGTAGTTCTGTTTGGTATGTGTTCCTTGCTGTATGGACTTTGCCAAGTTGACTCTAAGAACAAGTAACCAGCAAACCAAAAGAAACATAATGAGTTGTGTCCTCTAATGCCTTGCCCTGAACTTTACTTGCAGCCTTTCATTTAGTCCGATTTCTTTTAAACAAAATCTATTGTACAAATTAACTTTTTTAGTTTTAAAATGTATTTTCATAAGAACATAAAAGTTGTCATTTTGGCTTCAAACTATTACAATCAATTTGATGTGTTGCTTTTACTGTTCTTGGGGCCAAATGTTGAGAATTCTGTTAAAAGACACTTTCTTGGGCTGGGGTTGGAGCTCAGTGGTTAAGCGCTTGGCACACATGCATGAGGCACTGGGTTCGATCCTTAGCACCACATTAAAATAAATAAATAAATAAAGATATTGTGTTCATCTACAAATAAAAAAAATATTTTTAAAAAGACACTTTCTTTTAATTCCAATATCAGCACCAGAACATTTGAAATAAACTTTAATATGTCATTTTTATTACTACCCCAGATACCCCAAATTAAGATGCCTTCTAATCAGATCATTTTGAAAAAGGTAAATGAACAGTGGGTTTTCTTAATTCATAAATCTATTTAAGAACCTTAGTGCCTATGATAACTTAATCCTCTAATTAATAGTAATATATTTTCCAGTAATATTTACTCCCAGTTTGTACTCCTGGTCCCAGAACTGATCCCATTTGGGGATATATGGCTATGTATCTGCTTCTAAAAAACAGGCTACAAGGGGCTGGGGGTTGTGGCTCAGAGGCAGAGTGCTCGCCTAGCATATGTGAGGCACTGGGTTTGATCCTCAGCACCATGTAAAAATAAAATAAAGATATTGTGTCCTCCAAAATAAAGATATTGTGTCCTCCTACAACTGAAAAATAATTTTTTAAAAAAACAGGCTACAAGAAAATACATGGAAAATAATCATTAGTTTTCAATAGTTCTTCCTTAATGATCCATAAATAATGGAAAGTTAAGGAAAAGAGGTCAAAGATTTAACCCCTAAAAGAGGGGATGTTTTTTCATGAAATTTGATGTATTTTTCCATACTTCATAGACTGTATTCTATTCAGAAGGGATTTTTGAAATCACTTTATATCAGAGAAAGCTGAGGCTCCGCACGCAATAGACATCGTCACGTTATTTAATTAATTTGTAACTAATCACAAGGACACACCTTGTTAATCTAACCATTAAAAGAAAAAATGATTTTGATTTCTGTACATTTTTTTTTTATCATTGCTTTTATCCGTTCCGTTTTCAAGAGCGCTCTTTGTCTTTGGTTGTTGTTGCCGTCGTTGGCTTTCTTCCAGCTAGAAGAAGATATCAGCAGAAAAATGGACAAAGATGAAGAGGCTTTGAAGGCAGCTCAAGCAGAACTCAAGGAGGCTCGACGCCAGTGGCACCACCTGCAAGTGGAAATCGAGTCTCTCCACGCCGTGGTGAGACCAGGGTCTGGAAGCAGCATCCCATGTCGGATTGAGACGGGGCAGAGGGGCTCAGCAAGGGTTCTTGCCCAGCATGCGCAGAAGAAAAAGGGAAAGGAATAATGCCCCTCACTTTACAGTGAGAAACTGAAAATCAAGGCTGCTCAGTTCTACCCTTGAGTGAGTTGATAACTGGCTGTTATCAACTCACTCAAAATTAGTTCACCCTGGGGCTCCCTAGAGGTCGAAATAGGGAATAGGGTGCTTATTAGCATCCAAAGTCCTACTAGCGAGCTTTTTTAATTCATGCCTTTGACATTTCTAATAGAAATATTGAAGCCTTTTCCTGAAATGCCTTGCATAAGCAATCTGCTCTGCCTTTGACATTGAATGTATTTTCAATACTTAAAGAAAAAATCAAATTACTCAGAGTGACAATAAGTTAATCACAATATAGAGGATTTCTTTTTGCCATAGGAATTATTACAGGATTTTTTTGAAATATAATAAGCTCTCTAGTTATGTATATAAAATATAAATATGTTTTAGAAATTTGGAATGTACATGAAGCTGTAGGATAACATCTCTTGCATAAATGAGACATAATTAATGCAACTTAAAAAAATAAATAAGAATAGAATAGTGGGGAGGGGCTTGGTGGTAGGAATTGCCTAACATGCACTAAGGCCTTGGGTTTGATTCCCTAGCTCCAAAAAAAAAAAAAAAGAAAGAAAGAAAAAAAGTAAAGGAAAAAAAGCCACACACACACAATAGAATGAAGACATCGCAAATCAGATTTCAGAAACACATTTTGTGTCACTGATTCACTGATGAGCATCTCTATAAACAGGAAAGGGGCCTTGAAAACTCCCTGCACGCCAGTGAGCAGCATTACCAGATGCAGCTGCAAGACCTAGAGGCTGTGATTGAAGGACTAGAGAGAGAGCTACAGGAAGTCAGGCAGGGCATCGAAAGGCAGCTGCAAGAGCATGAGATGCTTCTCAACACGAAGATGAGACTGGAACAAGAAATAGCAACTTATCGCCGCCTCCTAGAAAAGGAAGAAATCAGGTACCTAATCTACATAGCTAGTGACAAGGGACCAGACATACAGAGCCACTTATGTCATTGTTGATATAGTCATAGAAATGAAACCTAAAATCAAAACCCATCATCACCTGGTATAGTCACTGAGTTCCTCCAGTAAAACAGGATTAATACATGCTGCAATGAATACATGGAAGAGCTATTTACAGCTTGCTAACACTAGGAACCCAAGAGCCAAAATCGGCCGTTGAAAGGTCAAACAGAACAAAATGCAAACAATTCCTGATCAGTACTGAAATGATCTTTCTTATTTCTCTTTTTAATTACTGTTCATCTCTTTTAATATTAATTCTATAAACCATCCACAAAGAAATTTTGGAAGTCACATATTATCACCACAACTCCACCCAAAGGGCCCACTCCCACAACACATTAAATACCAATAATAATAATAATAATAATAATGTAATTATAAGACAACCAAGGAAAGGAAAACTTTTTGGAGCCATGATTTAGAAGACTTCCAGATGTCCTGAGAGGAAAAGGCTCCAAAACAGGAATTCTTATTTATTCATACAATATCACTAATGAGGTCAAATATCTTTGAACATGGTATAACCTCCAATTCTCCATGTTCTCATAAAAATAAACCTTTAGCGGGATGTGGTGGCCACACCTGTAATCCCAGCAGCTCGAGAGGCTGAGGCAAGAGAACCACAAGTTCAAAGCCAGCCTCAACAACAGCAAGGTGCTAAGCAATTCAGTGAGACCCTGTCTCTAAATAAAACATAAAGTAGGGCTGGGGGTGTGGCTCAGTGATCTAGTGCCCTTCGGTTCATTTCCTGGTAACACCCACCCCCACCCCCTGCAAAATAAATAAATAAATAAAAGGCTGGAAATGTGGCTCAGTGGTGGAACACCCTTGGGTTCTATTCCCAGTACAAAAAAAAAAAAGAAAAAGAAGAAGAAATCTTTGTTCCTGCTTGTTCAGAATTCTGATTCCTCTATAAAACTAGATGAAACAACTTTGGCCCATAAGTTTTGACATTTATTTAATCCTTCAAAAAGCATTAATGAGCTCAGAAATATATTGCTTACTAGCAGTATGACTTCGAGGAAGTTACTTAATCTGTGCTTTAGTTTTCTCATCTGTAAAATGAGAATAATACCTACTTTATAGGATTTCTGTGAGGATTAAATGAGTTCATGTGTGTCAAGTGCTTAACTGGCACACTGTAAGTGCTAATGTAGATAGAGATAGACAGAGTTTTATATAAAGTTTTATACACATATAAGCAATAATACATATGTTGTTAGGTAAAAAGAACAGTTTTGAATTTTATTTAAGTCCTAATCATTCAAGATGTTGCCAAATTGCTCTTTAGTATTTATTTCTATAATGTGATTTTCTAAAATTTAATCATTCTAGCTAAGCACAGTGCACATTCAGGTAATCCTAGCTATCAGGAGGCTACAACAGGAGGATGGCAAGTTTCAGGCCAGACTCCTCAACTCTGAGACAGGGTCTCAAGTTCAAAGCCAGCCTCAGCAACAGCAAGGCGCTAAGCAACTCAGTTTTTTGAAATAATAATGATTTTTTTAAGTGATGGGGGTGTAGCTCAGCCATAGAGCTCTTGCCTAGCATATTTAAGCCTTTGGATCAATCTCTAGTGCCAAAATCTTTAATGCTATACTTAAGATGTACCCAAAAAATCAAGAAAAGTATAATGAACACCCATGTACTACTTCCCCCAGTTAAAGAAGTATTTCCAATGTTGTTGCAGTTCCCTGGACACCTACACCATATCCCCCAATCTCATCCTCTCCCCTCTGCTTATCCTGATTCCTGAATTTGATGCTTATTAGTCTCATATATTCCTTTATAATAATTCGTTTGTATCCCTAAACAAAGTATGAAATTGTTTTACATGTTATTTTGATCTTTATAAAATTAGTTGCATTTTTTCTTTTTTCATGCAACATTATGCTTAGGAGATTCATCCACAGAGATACAGTATAGCCTTCATTCACTTATTTTCATGGTCATATATTGCATTCATTGTATGATATACAATTTATCCACTTTCCTATTTGTTTCAATTACTTGTTAACACAGTGTTGCTCCTATAATACAGTTCTTTCCAATTTCAGATATTATGGTTGTATCCAAGGTGGGAAAAAAGATCAAAAACCTACCACCAGTAAAGTTGGTTTTGTTTTACCTTCAGGTGAGTTTCTTATATAAATAAACTAAGTTGAAAAGTAAGGTGCTATGTATAGGGATTATAATGAAATTAAATACTCCAAAGTAACAAAAGCAAGTAATATTTTAATAAAACTATTAATTTAATTATGAATAGTATGTTAACATTGTAATTTAATGTCATAAATAACATTTTTACAGCCATTATAAATGAAATATCTTTTTCAACAAAACTCTCACAAAAGTATGAGGATGAAAAAGTGGAAACAGTGACCAAACAGGCAATATTAAATGGGAATATTGTGAAGGAAAGCACTGAAGCTCATGGCACTATTCAGTAAGTAAAATAACTTTCATGAAGAAATAATAATAAACGTATGTAAAAAAATTAACTTCCATCAAACAATCCCAGCAATTAATCTTATTTTAATGTTTCTAAACATACTTTTAATATCCTAAGATTTTTAACTGTACATAAATACAGTATATAAAGACTTCTTTGTACATAATATGTACATAAAAACTCAGATGAGCTGGGTGTGGTGGCACATGCCTCCAGCAACTTGGGAGGCCGAGGCCAGCCTCAGCAGCAATGCCTAAGCAATTTAATGAAAACTTGCCTCAAAATTTTAAAAAAAGGGGGGGGGGGGCTGGGGATGTAGCTCAGTAAAACACCTCTACATTCAATCCCCAGTACAAAAAAAAAAAAAACCCTCAGAGATAAAAGAGTATGCAATCAATTCACCATTTCTTTTCAAAAAATATACAAATTACTTGATTTCTTTTTCATAGTATGGAATACATATTATATATATATATATATATATATGTTTGTATATTCATACTTCTTCCTATAGAATGGTTCACTTTATCATTTCAGGACAGAGAAAGTGGATGAAGTTATTAAAGAATGGGAAGGTTCCTTCTTTAAAGATAACCCTCGATTAAGGAAAAAATCTGTTTCTCTTCGGTTTGATCTTCATTTAGCAGCCACTGACGAAGGCTGCTTACAGACTAAGCAGGATAATCTGCCAGACATAGAAGTCAGGCTCATCATGAGACGATCATGCAGCATCCCCTCTATCAAACCTCCGTCAGCAACTAGTTAATCCAATGATTTGAATTAACATTTGATTTGCAAATGATACTAGGATGGACCAGGGTGTGCCATGCTAACCCCTTCTGTCCTAAAATGTAAGTTATTAAGTGTATATGGAAAATGTTATGATCCATGTGTGATTGTGATTCTCTTCAGAAGAGCACACACACACATTAAGGGGAAAAAATTTCTGAATCCAATTATGGATATGCTTTTTAGAGAGGGAGAACCTAAAAATAAAATCAGAAATTCAGTTTGGGTTCTATTTTATTTATTCTCTAAAGTCTTCTCTTTCCCTGGAAATTTTATTAGAGATTGTTTGAGTGTTTACTTGGCTTAGTTAAGTCTGTAATGTCATTCAATGGCAGAAAACTGTAAGGAAAAAAGAATAATTGGTTTAAAGATAACTGTATTATGTAAAGGGTCACACTGAGTTATTCATTGTTATTCTATGTCTGGCTAAAACAAAAAAGGTTGTTCTAATTTAAAAAAAAAATTATAAGCAGACTTCTAAGGGGAGGCTCACTAGTCACTTCAGATTTTTCCTTTTGAGACAATCATTTGGACACTTAAAAAAATAAGAAAAGTTATTTTCCATGAGCAGTTTTGAGAAAACTATAGAATGCACCACAAGGCTATTTTGATGACTGAATAAAATTAATTTCTACATCTGAATTTTTTGTAATCAGGATTGACTTTCAGAAGAGTTACTTTATTAAAAGGACTTTAAGGGTTTGGTCCTTTCACCAAAAAAGAAAAGAAAAGAAAAAGAAAAAAAAATTCAGAAGGTTTATTGTACAAAGCATGAAAAACAACTTGAAAAGGTGATTCCTGAAGTTACTAGAACAGTCACCCAACCTCTCATCTCAAATTTTACAACCATAAAGTTAAATGGGATTCAAGAGTTTGCTCTGAGCCTTAGAGACGATACTATACGATGTAATATAAATTTCTTGCAGTAATTTATGTGAACTAAGATAACAATATTGTTATCTAAGGTAAAAGTGTTTATAGGATTTGTTTTTAAATTGTTCAAACTGTCATAAATATGAATAGAAAATATATTTGTGAAAGTGAAGTATCATTGCAAAGTTTTTAAAACAACCTAAATTGTTTGATACAGGTATATTTATTAAGTCCTTAACTAATAAATACCTGTTGTAAAACATTAGAAATTTATAGGCTATTAATTTTTTTTCTAAGCAGAAAAAAAATGGTTGAATACAACTGACAGATGTTTTTCCAGCTAAAGTATCGTGTAAGGGCTACAGCTATGTTAGCATTTTAGTACAATCTTTAAAATCAATCTCTCTCTCTCTCTCTCTCTCTCCATTAATATATATGTATGTATATGTGTATATATATTTATATATATATCAGTAAAATGTGTTTTAAACAGAAGAAAATTATGTTAAATAATCTTTTAATCTTTAACATAATACAGAGATACATTTTAAATTTTCTTTTGACAACTTCGGATCCTTTTAGCCTGTCTTATTCTATTTAGTGAAAAGAGGTTTTTTTGTTATTGTTCTGGTTTTTTTGTTTGTTTGTTTGTTTGTTTTGTCAAGACTACAACAGCATGTTAAGTGCTCATTCTTGCATAAGCATCTGACCTAAAACTTACCCTAAACATAAAAATGTTTCATTTGGGCTGGAGTGTAACTCAGTGGTAGAGTGCTTACCTAGCATAGGGGAGGCCCTGAGTTTAATCCCCAGCAGGACAAAAAAAAAAAAAAAGTTTCATTCAATATTAGTTAATGTTATAAACTTTACTAAAGCTTTAAAAATGCAATCATATAATGTATTGTACTGAAGTTACTATACTAAGCAACAGTGACCATAATAAGCAATATACCTAGTATAATCTATTGCAGTGTTAAAACCTTAGTACTGGGCATTATGAATGTAACTGTAACTGCTTGCTATAGTAATTCTCCTATGCAACTAAATTGTGTGTATAACACGTACATTTTAAAAATACAGTATTTGTATTTATAGTAAAGTTTTATTTGCTTTGAGGCCTTTTAAAATCGGGATATGAATTTACCAAAGTAAATGATACCACTCACAATAAAAAATATTGAAACATGAACTCCAAAGCTGCCTTGTATTGAGTTTGATACATCCTTCTTTTAATTCAAAGATATTTCTACATGATTAAGCAAAATAAAGAGAGTGCACTCACTTGGGAAATAAAGAAAACTGGACTCATAGAAGATAGATAATGGTTTTTAACTTGTTTTACAGAAGATAAATTAAGAATAGTATGCTGATATTTTATGCTAAGAAAAAAATCAAAATAGTCACACAATTCTGGGGAAAATATAATAACAGTAGCCACAATTTTTAAGGTGTTTATCCTCAAATCCAGGTATTGTGTTCAGCAGAGTCATTCGCAGTCCCTCATCCTTAAAACAATCCTACAAAATAATACTACCCTTGTTTTATAAATGAATAGAAATTAATATTCCTCAATCTCTCAGAAATCTTTCAAATGCATGTTTCCATAATGAAACGCAAAAATAAAGAGTAATTCCAGCTACTTAACAATTGTAGGATCCTGGCCCTGGCTCTGACACTAACAATGTAAGAGGAGTGTCCATGCTAAATTCCCTACGTCTCAGTTTTCACACTTGAAAATCAGGAAAAAAGGTGATGCTTAGTAATAATCTCTATCCTGACTGCCTCACAGTTATTTGAATTAATATACACATGAAAATATTTTGTAAAGCACTGCTCAAATGTCAAGTACCATTTGGACAAAAGTTGGTTCTGCTAGTAAAGAATTTGTGAGGAAATTATAGCTGACAAAAAAATTAAGTAATAGTTTAAAACACTATCAATAAAGATAATATTTTTGAATCTTTGCTTCCAAAAGGATTATTCTTTCCAAGTAAGTTACCCAATTTGAACTGTTTCAACTATGATAGTTTTTAAAATACAAAAATGTACTGTGGGGGCTGGGGATGTGGCTCAAGCGGTAACGCGCTCGCCTGGCATGCGTGCAGCCCGGGTTCGATCCTCAGCACCACATACAAAAGAACATGTTGTATCTGCCGAAAACTAAAAGTAATTAAATAAGTATTTAAAAAAAAATGTACTGTGAAGATTGTGAATGATTATTATATTATTTTAAGCCACTAAGTTTTGGGATAATTTGTTACGCAATAATGTACAAGTAATACTGCATATAAGCATTTTGCTTATTGATAGAAATTTTTATAGTGTCAAAGTTTATAGTTTGCCCTTCAATTTGTTTTCTTAACATGGGTTTTTAAATTTTTTTGAAAAAACTCTTAAGTAAAAAATTATTAAATTAGTTTGAAAGTTTCAAACGGAAACTTATTATGGCACAGGGTCTAAAATTAAATTTCAAATTGCATATATATACACATGACACAAATTATCAGCACATGAAATCAAAGGAAAGTTTGTTCAAAGAGCAGAATTTGGTTCTATGTTTATGAGGATATAGCCGGCATGTACACACAGGTTGCCAGTCAATATTCATGGATACACTGCAAATAAAGATTTTGAAATGAGATTATATATACACATATATATTATATATACACACACACACACACACACGTGTGTGTGTGTGTGTGTCTTAATAAGAGACTTTCCAAGTTGTCCTCACACACTTAAGACTCTAGGCCAGGGTTGCTGTAAATTTTCTGTAGAATATCAGATCACAAAGATTTTGGGCTTCTCTGGTCAGAAGATCCCGTAGCAACTCTGCCCTCAAAGCTGCAATCATCCATAGACAATATATGCAAATGATGGGTGTAGCTGTATCCAAATAAAATTTTATTTGCAACCTAGGTTTGGCCTAAAGTGATAGTTTGTCAACCCTGGTTAGGGTTGAGTGGTAGAATGCTTGCCTAGCATGTAGTAGGTCCTGGTTTGAACCCAGGACTGGGGGGGTGGGGAGCACCATTTTGCCAACCCTGGCCTAGACCCTCAAAGCAATCAATTGATAATGGCCACATAGCCCAGATTCTCCAGTACCATCCTGTTTTCAAATATTTTCATCCTTTTACACAACATGAGCCAAATCTCATGTCCCAAATCATCAAGGTTATTTTGAGGCCAACACAGAGGTTGTAAAAGCAATCATACTTTGTCAAAATCTATAAAAGTGTGAATCGCTCTGTCTTGGAAATCTGCTGGGCTTCAGTATTTCACAATTATTTATAGCAATAGAAACTGAATGCCCATGGTAGATCTGTCTGCTTTCACAGAAACAGCTGAGCAAAACTGCCTGTTTTACCTTTTTACCTATAACTAGACTTTTATGGACTATTTGACACAGGTAAAGCTCTGTTCTCCCTTTCCCTATTTTTAGGGAAAGAGTCCATTTAAAACACTACATCAGAGTTGGGCACAGTAGTACATGCCAGTAATCCCAGCTACTTGGAAGGCTGAGACAGGAAAAAAATCACAAGTTTGAAGCCAGCCTCAGCAACTTAGAAAGACCATGTCTCAAATAAATAAATAAATAAGGACTGGAGATGTAGTTCAGTGATTGAGAGCCCCTGGGTTCATTCCCCAGTACTACCAAAAAAAAAAAAAAATCTTAAAAAAAAAAAAACTCCATCAGAACATATTAAATACAAATTCCATGTCATAGTGGTTAATTCAACATCCTTCTCAGTCACAGTCCTCTTTGAAAATCTGATGAATTTACTAATCCTCTATCTGGAAAAAGCACACAAAAATCATACACAATTTTAAAGGGTTCATAGACCTCCTAGAGCTTACTCATGGACTATGAGGTATCCAAGGACTGCAGGTTTCTCCTTGTTTTCTCCCACTTCCTTTTTCTTTCTTCCTGCCTAGCCACATTCCTTTCTTCTCCTAATTCTCTCTCCCTCACCAGCTTCTTCCCACAGTACTATGGAAAGAACTCAAAGACCTGGGCTAGAATCCCAGCTTAATTACTTATTGGTTTTAGCTTCCCTGACTTGGGGAAAGTGTGAGTGGTATCAGAGAGGAAAGCAGGACAAGTGCCTGGATCTTGCTGCCAGAATGAAAACTAAAGTGCTCAGGCCTAAAACTATAGGCTCACGGGAGGGCTCCCAACCTTTGTCATTATGTATGGTAACAGTCATGTTAATACTGCATCCCATATTTTCCAGGAATAGTCACATTTCCAAACATGGATACTATAGTTTGCATAAATATCCTTATTGCATGTAAGATCACATGTTCTATTCTTTGTTTTGGAGAAAATAAACTGTGCAAGTAGAGCAGACATTTCCATGTTGGATATTTCACCCATAGGTTTTGGTATATTGAACACTAGGGAGGATTTTTTTCTATTATCTTTTGCCTATATTCTTCCTTTTTAAATTTTTCAAATCTTAAGGAACAGAGGAAGAACCAAAGAAGGAAAATGAGATAGTCATTCATTTATTTATTCCACAAATAACAAGCACCTTCCCATACTATGCACTGTTCAAAATTACAAAAGTTCCCATCCTCAGCCAGCTTTCATTCTGATAGGAAGCAAAAGACAACAGACTCAATAAATGTATAGATACTGTAGTATGTTTTGTGCTAAGTGCCAAAAAATAAAATAAAAAATGGTCCATGAATAAAGAGAGGTGTTGGGGAATGACTTGTGATTTTTAAGTAGGGGTTGTGGCTCAGCGGTAGAGTGCTTGCCTAGCACACGTGAGGCACTGGATTCAATCCCCAGCACCACATTAAAAATATATATATATGGGCTGGGGTTGTGGCTCAGGGGTAGATTGCTTGCTTCGCATTCATGAGGCACTGGGTTTAATCCTCAGCACAACATAAAAATAAAAAATAAAGATATTGTGTCCACCTAAAACTAAAAAATGATTTTAAAAAAACACTAAATAAAGGTATTATGTCCTTCTACAACTAAAAAAAATATTTAAAAGACTTACTATAAAGGTAACCTTTTGAGTAAAAACCCTATGAGAGGAGCTAGGGGTGTAGCTAACCTGGAGAACATATGCTTAGCACATTTGAGGCTCTGGGTTCAAAACACACACACACACACACACACACACACACACAGTGTATCAAACAAACAATATTACTGCTCCACTCAGATCCCTTTTCCCTTTTCAACATTTTTGTGCCACTCCAATCTACTACAGTGTGCTTTTCCTAGCATCCAGTACTTGTGGCTTGTCTTCAGAGAACTTCCTAGAAGATGACACAGCATAGTATCTCCTCAGCTCTGGGCTTGCCCAGCTCCCCGCACTCCACCCGTTAACCCCATAACCCCAAAGAAGAAACCATGCTGGAGTTGCTGAGCAAGGTCATAAAAAGATATTGGATCCCTGCTGAGGCTTCCTGTATCCTACATTCACTCTTTACTTGTTTTTACATTTAAAAGGCAATTTCATGTTCATTATCTTTAGCACCACTCAAGCTACCTGTTATCATTTGATGATCTCTCATTCAGTATTTTCCTTCAATATGTGCTTCCATTTCATTAATCTTTATTCAGGGGGATAAAAAATATTGGTAGTGGAGGAACTGGGTAGAATATCACTTGTGGGGCTGGGGATGTGGCTCAAACGGTAGCGCGCTCGCCTGGCATGCGTGCGGCCCAGGTTCGATCCTCAGCACCACATACAAAGATGTTGTGTCCGCTGAGAACTAAAAAAAAAAAATAAATATTAAAATTCTCAAAAAAAAAAAAAAAAAAAAAAGAATATCACTTGTGGCTGTTTTTTTTTTTTTTTTTTTTTTTTTTCAGATTTCTAGAGATGCCCCGGCAGGTACAACAAGGATGGAGCCTAAGGGCAGCCCAAGAATTCCACCAGTCTCTCTAAATGTCAACACTGTTCTCAGGTAACTACAGGTCAAAGACCCCATCTGTTCATTCTCCCTCCAGTGGCCCACATCAGCCAGGTGTTTATATACTCCATATGGTAAAGTACGATATACCAAAGTATAAAAGTGCATATAGCCAAGTGCCACTGATTTAATGAAAAGAGCTGGAACAGGCCCAAAGGCTGCTTCAACACATATTTTATGAACATCTAATCATGAGTTAAATCGTTAGTAAGCACTGGCAATAAGAAGATGACCAGTGCACATGCCTGAACCTTTGCTTTCAAGTCTTCGTGATGTATTTGCGATGGCAAACACAGTCCGACACGAAAGCTATCAGATACAAGACTGCAATAATAGTTATGACTCAGGAGCCTCGGGGAGCCCAAAGGAAGAATTATTGGGGGAAAGTTCCAGAAGACAGCATAAGAAACCCTGGAGCCAAACAAAGTGGGGACCCTTAGTCCTTGAGAGGGAGCTGAATGCACCAAGGACACTCAACCTGGAGCGAGGGGATGGACGTTTCTGGGCCTTGGCTCGGAAATCTGGAGCAATTACATTCTAAAAGCGATTAGGAAACTGCAAAACTCCGTGTTGCTTTTCGCCAAGGCTATAACCTGGCCGTTAAGGCAGGACGCCCTGAGAGCCGCCAGTGGGGACCCAAACACGCGACCCGAATCCTCAGCGCCTCCCTCCTCGGCTTACTAAACTACAGTGTGGACCGGGACTCAGAGACCAGAGCAACGGGAAAGCACGGCGGTGAGGAAGCCGCGCTCCCAGGCCGAGCCCCGCGCAGAAGCTGGGCCTCGGAGCCCACCACCCGGGCCCTGGTGCACCTCCGCCGCCACCCCCGCGCCGCGGCCGCCCCCGCCGCCCGGGGCTGCGAACCAGCGCCCAGCGGGCGGTCGGGCCACCCCGCCCTCTTCGCCGTGACGAATCGGCTCCGGGCTGGGACACTATCCAAACTCGAGGAGTTCTGAGGAAGCTGTGTGGACTGAAAAAAATCCTTGACTATACCAAGCATCACCGCATCGTGATCAGAGGGTTATTTTCCTAAAGAGAGCCGGGCGCGGCCCAGAGAGAAATCGAACGGAGTGTTGAAAGTGCGAGCGCGGAAGCTCCGGCGCGAGGGGCGGGGCGAGTGCGGGACAAAGGGAAGCGAAGCCGGAGCTGCGGGCGCTTTTTCGGCCCGCGGGTGAGTGTTTCCAAGTGGGCCCGACCCGGTCGGGAAGGTGGCAAGCCACGGTGTCCCCGCTTGGCTGGACCCCGAGTTCCCGCGGGTTGCTGGGGTGCAGGTCTGGCCGTGGGGCCGGAGCTGGGGGCCATGCGGCCTCCTTGCGGCCTAGCGGCGCGAGGGTCGGGAGGAAGTCCCTCCGCCGCCCCTCCTCCCAAGCAAGATTTGTCCCCTCCGCTAGTCCCCCGAAATGGATCTAAGCGCCTGTGCACACCCCCCTTTTACGGGAGTTGCCAGTACAGTGGATCCTCCACGACAAACTTAGGAAGCGACCTCAGAGGAAGCCTTTGGAACGAGGCAAGCCGGTGGTCCGCACCCCCAAGAAAGTGGTGCCCCTTTTTGTTCGGGTAGAGACCTGAGGACTCACTGTGTGGCTTGGAGAGAGGAGCGAAGGCTCTGAAACCGTGTGGCCTGGGTTTGAAATCCAGCTCTGGCACTTCCTGGCCATATGGCTCTGGACAAGTTACTTGAAACTCTGAGAACTCCCCTTTTCATCTGTAAAATGGGGGCAGCAGTCTATTCTTGTTGTGACTGGGTGAGCAAGATCATGTAATAACCTGTTCTGTATAAGGTAACTATTCAACAACTAGAGAATCTGTTTTATGCCAGGTACCAGGTAATACCCAATGTAGACAAGTGTACAGGCCCACTCTTTGCATTCTAAAAAAGGAAAGCAATCATTTAATAGTATTAACAGTGAAGTGTAATGCACAGGGAGCTTGTGGCAATTTTTGTCTGAGCTCCCCACAGCAAGGTCTACTGCATGTTGACAGCTTCCCTATTGTGACCAAGGAGGAGAACCGCATGAGAGTAAAAGGCTTCTGCCTATTCTTTAAGAAAAGAGGGAGAGACCCAGGACGGACCATTGAGAAAATAAACTATTCCCACACCAGGACTCTTATTCCTGGTAGTCAGGAGTTTTCTTAAAATGCAAAATGGAAGCAGAAAATTGTTTTATTTTATATAATGTTGGATGAAAGTACTTCAGTAGTCAGAAATGTACTTGCCTTTCTAAAAATGAATTTCTCTCTCTTTACACCTTACTGTTTGTGATGTATATTGATTTAAGGAATAAACTCACATGTGTCTGTTCATGTGATGAGCTCTTAACACTTCGACAAGTTTTATTAAGAACAGAGCAAGTTATTGGGAAATACAGTAATGAATTAGATGATCCCTGTTCCCTAGTAATACCCAATCTAGCCAGATTGACAGATGTTTGGTGTGTTTTTTTAAGTTATAAGAAACTGTATCATAGACCTTTGTAGTAGATAGGAATACAGATGAGGGAGTAATTAATTCTGCCCAGGTAATTTGTCAAGAAATTGCCATTGAAGAGATAATTTTGAAAGGGGCTGTGAAGGGTAAGAGTTCTCAGGTAGACTCTCAAAATTTATTCCCAGCACTTTTGGAACTATTTACCAATAGAAGGAAAGGAGAAGTTCATCATCATACCCAGTTTCCCTTTATACTGCCTGCAGGAATAAAATGCTCCTCTATTTCAACAGAAGTTCTCATCCCAAAAGCAAGGTAACTGATCAGGGAGCTGTCAGTATCTGGTAGGCCTTGTTGGGGTCACCCTGATAATACATCACATTCTATTGTCATTATTTTTTTTATCAGTCTAAGTAAACGTTTACATGGCATCAGCAAAATGTTTTCCATACAAGATGTGGCTTGGTATCATAAGCAAAACCCTAAAAATACATTTCTAATATTATTCTAAATATCCCGGTAACTTAGTCATTTAATTCTGATCATCCAAATGACCTACAAGAAGTAGTTAAAATATGCAAAAGACTTGATTACTAGCAGATAATAGTGAAGTGATTTTACTCAGAAATACCAATTAAACTACCCTATTCTTTAGGAAAACATTCTCTTATGCTTGCTGAGTTTTGATTCTCTTTTTTTTTCCTTTTTTTTTCTTTTTTTTTATTTTAGTGTCTCAGATTCATTCTTAAGGAACTGAGAACTTAATCTTCCAAAATGTCAAGTAAGTTTCAATTTTTATATTTATCAATCTATGTTAATAAGAGACTAATGCCCTAGCAAATGGGAATTCCAAAATACTCTCATTTTTTTTTTCTTCAAAACAGGACCATTGGTAGTTTTGTTGCATAGTATTATATCTCAGTTGTTTACAAGAAGTTATTTATTTTCTTTCAAACAGAAAGACCATCTTATGCCCCACCTCCCACCCCAGCTCCTGCAACAGTAAGTTTTAATTTTCTTGTTAATGTAATAGCCAAGTCTGGCCTTGATACAAAAACCCAGATGTCTTCCAGTGACAGTCACTCAATCATCACAGCCACAGGATGAAAAATTCAGCTAAAAAACAGCACTTCCTACTAAATAAAATAACTTTGCATCTTAACTTGAACCAACCCCAACATTTAAAAAAAAAAAAAAACTTTGAAATTCCAATCAAACTCCTATGCTCTTTTTTTTTTTTTTTAATTGGAACTAAATGACAAGTTTAACACTTCTTTTCTCGTCAATCTTCGCTATTAAGAGTCTTTTAAGTTGAGATTGAGTGAATGCTCATTCTGGCATTATTTATTTTTTTAAACCTAACCTTCAAATGGTTACATTTTTCTCTCTTGTCTATATATAAAATTTTCATATTAAATCAAACAGTAAAACTTCTAGGTCTATAACTACACTAATTGTAATTCTTTATTTTCAAGCTGTTCAAGTAAGGATTTCATTATCTGTGGGTCAGATCTTGCTGCTGAATTCTCCATAAATTATGTTTTATTGGTTTCTGAATTGATAATGTTTCACAGTGTCTAAATAATAGTTGTGAACTGCTTTTTGTATCCAGCAAACTGACCCGGCTTGATCAGCATGTAAAATAATTGTCCAGCCCACAAAACAGATTTAACAGTAACTGTTCAGGCCTTGCTGAAATGGCTTCCTTGTTGGTTTTTTGCGGGGGGTTTTTTGTTGTTGTTGTTTTGTTTTTTAAAAAACACTGTTAACATGACCATATCCTACAAAATCAGTTCTTTAATAGCCGCCAGATTTTCCTTCCATACCCCCCCACCACCTAAATTTCAGGCTAGTGTACTTTTTACTACTAATTAGGTCCTTGCATAATTTTTTTTCTCCACTAGATAACTAGTCATATTTACTAATCCTCAGATATACGTTTTAGTTACGTTTATCAACAGTTTGTTTTTCTTTAGTAAGATGCTTTTAAAAAGAGAAACTGTATCATATTTTCTCAGTTCTATTTATATAATATGCAGTCTCTAAAGTTAGTTCCAGTAGACCTGAAAGTCCTGTTTGGTTCATTTTCTTTCTTAAATCAAAGAACATTTCTTACCACTATCTCCATGACACTCTCCTAGTGGCTATACAGGTGGAGTTGAACAATGGAGATTCTGACCTCAAAGAGCTAACCATGTACTTCAGCTTTGGAAATGGTATAATTATGTTTTAGTTTCAATTTTTTTAGTTCCCTTATTTTTCTTACATTATTGCCTCCTAATGTTAAACAGTGATTCTCATTGTATATGCAACCTCTGAAGGTGTCATTTTGATGTAAATACTGCCTCCAACAATGTATAATTATCTTGAGAACAAACTTGATATTTTTGAGATTAAAATGTTTCAAAAACCAAGTACCCCTTCTGACTTCTCATATGTAGAAAGGGTTTTTTTTTCCTTTGCCTTTCTTTAGTCATATTTCTGTATCATAATTTCACATTAACACATAAAATATAGAAGACTAGAGATTAAAACATCCAACAGAATGGATATTAAATGAATTATTTTCCTTCTTTTCTTTTTTTTTTTTTTTTTTGGTTCCATTACTTCTACCACCACCATCACCACCACCACCTCCACCACCACTACCACCTTCACCACCACTACTACCACTCAAATATACCACTCCAAGTAATATACACTTCTTTTGTGCGTTTGATACTTCATCTGTGTTTTGCCTACTTAAATATGTCTAATTTGCGTCTTTAACTATATAGGCTAGAAATTGATCAGCTCTCTTTTCTCCTAAAAAGTATCAAATGTACTATCTGCTTGAATGTCTATTAGACACTAAGGATATGTATAGTGGCATGTTTTAGAAAATTGTGTTTGTTATGTAACAACTAAAGCTTAGTTGGGATGTCTTAAATGTATTTTACATTATACAATTCAGGAGTGATACTGTTAATTGCATGTAAAAATGAAATTAATGTCACTTTTTTGATTGAGTTTCATTAGGAAAAAACCCTACTTTAGTCCTCTCCTTGCTATATTCTTTTTATGCATTATGCCTTAATTTTCATGAACATTAGATGTCATGGTATTAATTAATTTGTGATTATATCAACACAAAAGTCACAAAACCCAAGAATCCTGTTGCAGCGAGCAGTTGTGTTTTGAAAGGGTGAGAGCTTTCAGAAAAATAGATGAAAAAAAGAAAGTTCACGTCTGTCAACTAGAAAAGTAGTTCTCATTAACACTAAATGCAGAAATTGTTCATAATTGACCTATGGAAGATGGATCAAAGAAGAGATGGAAGAGAAAGCTCTAAAAAGAATCATTGGGTTAAAGATCAGATAGTACCCCAGAATGAAATCCATGCATTTCTTACAAGTCTTTGTTTTGAAGTCATGTATGTGACATCCATTGAATCCAACATATGTTCTTTTCTATTGACAACTCCTGGCTTCCTGGTTTGAGTCTCTTCTCATTTCTCATATTATATAAAATAATTCAAAATTGTCTTGAAAAGCAGATCCATTTCTTGTTTTTATTTGTTTTTAGTAGATGAATACATTGGTTGGCATCCACATAACTGTCAAGTAAATTGTGTTTTGTTTTGCATGTAGTGTTTTCAGATTTCTAGGTTATCACACTTCAAGCCTTCCTATTTGAGACATGATATATATTGCTAAATTGCTTTATGGTACTATTGACTATAAAATAATCCTGAATGTTTGAAACACATCAGTGTATTGCTTACCTCAGAAAGCAAGCCACACATTCACATTCTCACAAACACCCCCCGGCCCCTGCCAAAAGAAAGAAAAAAGCAATAGCAACACGTACAACTGGTTTCTCAATGAAAGAAAATTTTAATTTCCTCAATAAAAGAAAAAGAACATTTACAACACATCATTGCTTGTTTAAATTCAGGTTGCTTTTGCATGCCATATGCAGATCATTTTTCATTTCTGTGTTTTCCTCGTTTGAGCTCATTTCTCATTCGTGTTTTTGTCTCATTTGTTTCCATCAGCAAATGCCCAGCACACCAGGGTTTGTGGGATACAATCCATACAGTCATCTCGCCTACAACAACTACAGGCTGGGAGGGAACCCGGGCACCAACAGCCGGGTCACGGTAGGAGAATCAACTATTACAGCCTCCAGCAAACCACTGGAATTGACCAGAAATGCCTCCAGAGTTAGGTCCTTCTATAAGCACAGCCACTTAAAAAAACTTTAATTTGGCTTTTCAACTATTTAGACATTATTTAAACAGTTTTACACTGGGGGAAAAAATAGTGAGATCTGGATGGATATGTATATGGAAGAAAAGAAAAATCCATTCTGTTTGATGGTCAGTAAGGATAAAACCTTGGGCACTTAATGCTTATACTATTGGAGACAAACTGAGAATTTCCTATGGTTAAAATACCCTTTTGGAGATGAAGAGTTTCTTCCATTTTTCTAAGGTAATTGGCATTAGTCTCAAGAACTTTGTTTCTTACTAAGTGCTAGTCTTTCAGACCTGGTATTTTCAGGGCTGGAAAGCTTTTGGCTGGCCTTGCCCATAAGAACTGCTACACATGATAATTTGTCTTTTGGATTTAATTGTCAGCCTTCTAATTGAGACTCATTTCTCTACAGTTGAAAAGAAAAAAGACCTTTTAGTATCACTCCAAAAAATTTGCAAAATAGAAGTTGAATGAAATTGAAGTATCAAACTAAATATGTACAGTTAGGTGTATATTTCTAATCAATTGTACAGGGATGTGATTTCTAAAACTTAGGATGTTTATTTAAGTGGTCAACCTAAGATAATCAAATATATTTCAAAGTTTGAAATTGGTAGTAAATTACAGTAAATCCAAAAGTCAAATACTTACATACACTGGAATCTCTGGTGTTGATGAGAATATATACAATGCAAAATGGCTGTAAATTTTTAATACTTGGTTTTTATTTGCTGTATTCATAAGTAATAAATAAATGTCTTCAAATTAATGTAACTACCCTCTCACCCTGTAGTCAAACTATAGCTGAAAGCTTGTAACTATCAAACTATATGTCTATCTTGGTAAGCACATTGCTTATCTTGATAGGTTTTGTTTGTCTAAATTTTTCATTGTTTTTACATAATTTGTACTTCATAAGCATATCAAGTTTTATGTGCCATGTGTATTTCATGGTATCTGAAAAGAATTCTGACAAAGTGTGTTTATGTATGCATTTCACAATGCATACAATTTTTATGTGCATCAGTACATGTTTTCCCCTGGCCTAAATGTATGGTTTCACAAGTATAATGGATGATAGGGAACTTTTAATTTAAATACTGAATGGAGTCAATTTTGGATTATTCATGTTAATGCAGAAATTTATTCATGGGCAATAAATAGTAGAATGATTATGTTTAATAGCTCTATACAGTCAGCTCTTGATTATCTATGTTAATGGAATAGGCATAGAAACTAAAATACTAGAATGGCTTTTTTGGTTTGTGTATGTAAACATTTTATTCTTAACTTGGATGTAGCTGTTGGGGTTCTTTGTTGATAAAGTGGGGTCTTTCAGTGGAGACGGAGTAGGAAAAGAGAAGTGCAGTCCCTGTGTGTGGGCCCAGGTCATTCATTCATTTCTCCCCGTTACTTCCTGGCAAACACAAGAATCCAACATTCAGAATGTACACTAGCTTCAGAGTAGGTTAGTATAAGAGAGTTGTTGAACATTGAAGCTTGGTGTTTTGGCTCTGTTCTTTGTGTTGTTGTCTTTTTAGTACCAGATTGAAGGGTAGTCAAATCAAACTGTTGTGTGAAGGAAATAAAACAGGAGGTTTTACACTACCTTTTTTTATATCTCTGAAGTGTATTAGGAGTTGACAGCTCTGATTTTGACCATTATAAAAACGTTTTAATTTTAAGATGGCCCTAGTTACCCACATTCAGTTCTCCTGTTTAGTAATTTGTCTAGAAATTACCTTAGTGATTTGAAGGACTGATTGTGTGAGGCCCTGAGAAGGAGCTTTCCTGAAGGTCACACGGAAATTCATATTTCCTTCAAGACTCCAGAACACTTGGATAGTTTCCAGTGAACACTTTACATGGCAAGTTGACATCTTTTGGAGTGCTTAGAATAGCTTTGAGTTGCAATTCACTTCTAGTTAGTTTTTCATTCAGATAATGATTTGCATTTTCTTAAATACAGATGTGCATACAAACAGATTGAGACAAAACATTAGCGATATCCTATTTTCTTCACTTTAATAGGAAATCTATACTCTTAAATAAATCTTATCAGAGAAACAGCTAAGAATTGGGAAAGAAACAATAACAAAGAACTCTGGATAGCTAGGATAAATTTCACAAAATCGTGAACCATGCTCCTTACATTTCCTAGGACTTTACTCGTGTAAGCACATCTTTTAACACTCATAGGCACTTGTTTGCCTGCCCCAACTCATTACAAATTAGAAGCAGAAAATTGGAAAGAGAGGGTTGCTGGTAAAGATAACAAAAGAAAATCAAAAAAAGGAAGCTCAAGCACTCTAAAAGCCACCCATTGGGCCATTTAGTAAGGGAGCCGACTATAGTTTTTCATACCTCAGAAGGTGACAGCAAAGCAGTGACTCTTTCTAATTGTCTGTTATCTAGAAAAGTTGAAGTATGTTCAGTGCAAACTGGTTTTTTTGTTGGTTGGTTGGTTTGGTTTTTTTTTGTTGTTGTTTTTTAAGAGTAAAGAAATGTTTAAGACATGTCTGGTATGTTAAATAAATTGAGGGTGGGTGGTGGTATAATTCTTTAAGATCCCAAAACCAATTGGAATTTAACTTTGTTATTTTGGATTATTTTTATTGTTGTTATATTTGTTGTTGGTTTTTTTCATTTTGCGTTTATAAATTGACAGGTCAGTGTAATGAAAATATGACTTCAAGATGTAGATAATTGGTGTACCTTTCTTTGGAAGAAAAAGAGAAATAAATCCATTAATGTTATAAAATGTGATTCTTAGAAAAATTCCAATTGTTTTCAAAATGTTTTGATTCATACTTAAAGTTTGAAAATATAAGCATTTTAGAATTCTTTACCTCTTTAATTTCTAAAAAATTAGGAGCACAATTTTATTTATAACTCACTTTATGGGTTTCTGAAGGTTTGTGTGGGATATGAGTTGAAAATTTTTTTAACAATGTATAAAGAAGCAGATTTGATGGACTCTTCCTCTGAGCCCATGATCTAAGGTTAGCCTCCTAGGATTTTTCTCCCTTAAAAGAACTCCTGTAAACCTTGATTAAGATCTCCCCTTATTTGCTGCTCATACCACCACTGGTGACTACTCCCGTGGCTCATCTCCATTGCCCACTGCTGGCTAAAAAGAGGGTCTGTTTGAATGGGCACCACCATGGGCATGCCAGTAAGAATGCTCGGAAGGAAGAGCAGAAAGAGAGGAGATACTGCTTCAAGGATGAAATGCTTTCTTACAACTTCATAGGTAAAGAAGGAAGAGTTACTTAAAAGTATATGAGGACAGAAGGGAGACCCTAGTGTCAGAAAAGGAAGCATTTCTTGCTTACATTGGAAAAGGGCATAAGCATGCCCAGTCCCTAAGCCCTTGAACAAAAAAACAAGGTTATGATTTATCACTGTAGCAACAGAAGGGTAAGAGAACAAATACTCACTCTCATTTTCTTATAAAAATTTGAAAATTAAGTCAGGACTTTTTTCCCCAAGCCTGGCAGGGAGAATTAATATCATTTGGCCATGATTTTTATTGTTCTGAGTCCTTAATCAAATGCAGTTGTGTATGTATGTATGTTAAGAAAAGATTTAGAAGTTCAGAAACAGGAGTTCTTGGAGTGGCTGGCTTTACCTGGGACATCTACCAGAAGCCATAGTGTCTCCTGCCTAGATCTCAGCTCATGGAACCTATCACTCATCTGTCTCATTCTTTTATTTCTTCTCTCACACACTTTCTTCTTTCCTTTTGAAACTGTTTTCCAGTGTCTCCTCCCCTTCCTTTTCTTCTGTTCCCTTTTCCTATATATGCCATCTTTTCCTCTTATGTCTCTTACACAACACCAAAAATTCTTAATAGAATGGACCTTCTTCATGTAAGACCTCAAAAATGACAATCGGGCCCAGTATCTGCTGGGGCTCTGTTCCTGGAAACTTATTTGCTCCTCGCTGTGATTAGGATGGAGGACAGAGAAAGATGGGACTTTAGTTCATACTTCTTGAAAACCACTGGATAATAGACATAGCCTTTGAGAGAAATGAAATCTTTGTGTGCTGAAAGAGATAAGAAAGTTTGCAGAGTGTTTGTTGTTTTTTAACCCGAGAGGCAGTTTTTGTATTGTGTTTTGTGTGAGGGTGTGTTCCTGATGTAGTATCAATAGATGCAAGGTCTCCTGTAGGCAATGTAAGTGTGGTAAGTGATGAAGGTTCAGATTCTGCTGCAGATAATCAAGTGTTGACTGTATGCCTAATGACAGTTGAGCAAAGTAAATGGGTGCCAGGTAATGTTCTAAATGTGATTTGTTTGCTATATAACCATATATTTTCAATGTATGGATTATTATGTAATATTTTGTTCTTACAGCCAGGTTGTCAAAGCAGTGGCAATAAACTGCCAAGTAAAACATTATAATTGCATGCTTAAAGCCATTTTCTTTTGATGTGAACATTTCTGAATTTGCAGTGATAGCTATTTTCCGTGGAGAAAATATAAGAATCTTGTATCCATGGACGAGTAGAAGAAAGGCGCATTAGAATTTTTTTAAGGGACTCTCTTTTCAGGTTGCCGGTGAACTTCTTGCAGTTGAGTAATTAATGTATTTAACTCTTTTGTAGGCATCCTCTGGTATTACGATTCCAAAACCCCCAAAGCCACCAGATAAGCCGCTGATGCCCTACATGAGGTACAGCAGAAAGGTAGGCACCTAGAACTGGGAAGGAGTGTGGACCACCACCTCTGCTTCTCAGCCATCCATGCAGCTTCAGCGTGGCCTAGTCTGTTTTTCTCTGCATATTCAGGGGAAGCATAAAAAATGTAGTTTTTAAAGAGCTTTGTTCTGATTTGAGAATTTCAGAAGTAAAATCCAGCAAGAGGAGCATAATTAAATAAGACAGAATGTTTTGTAGCCATGAATGTAATGTGTTTTGAAGAATATTAAATGACATGAAAAAAATGTTAAGTAAAAAAAGTAATACAAGATTATTTGTATTATTTTTGTAAAAATCATTAAAACTACATGTTAGTTTGAGGGAGGGAACCTAGAAAACAATGGTTACCTCTAAGCAATAAGCTGATGGTAATTTTTATTTTCTATGTATTTCCTTGAATTTTCCAAATTTTTTGGTGATAAGCCTTATTACACTTAAAAATATGGCTAATATCTTTTTTAAAGGTATGGCATTTTAACAGACCTTTAGAAATGTTTTGATTTTTGGTCATAATAATTGTATATGTATTTGACAATATGATCATGTATTATAGTTTGCATTGTATTATGCAGATTAACAACTTTCTTGCTAAATTCACGTGAATTTTTAGAGACATCAGTTAGCTTATTGAGTTAACTCATCTTAAGTGCCTGTAGTGATTGGAGGTCTTCTTGATATATCAAATTAAAGTACTTAGGAATGAAGTGACATGGTGTCTGAGATCTACCTTAAAGTAATCTTACAGAACCAAGCACTATGGCATGTGCCTATGGTCCCAGCTACTCTAGAGACTGAGACAGTAGTTAAGGCCAGCCGTGACAATGTAGCAGTCTCAAAAGTAAATAAATAATAATTCATCAGGTTGGAGTAGGCCAACGAGGACATAGAAATACAAAGCTACCTTTGATTTTTTTTTTAATGTTTAAAAGTTTCTATATTAGAAAATATTTTTAAATGTTTAAATGTCCATATGTTTAGGCATCTATATTGAAATTCCATCTGTTTCCTTTTTAAGGTCTGGGACCAAGTAAAGGCTTCCAACCCTGACCTAAAGTTGTGGGAGATTGGCAAGATTATTGGTGGCATGTGGCGAGATCTCACTGATGAAGAAAAACAAGAATATTTAAACGAATACGAAGCAGAAAAGGTAGGAGCCCGCTGTGGTGGGACGGATACAGTATAAAGTGCATCATCCTTGGCTCGTTATTTATAAAAGAAACGTAAGACTGGATCAGAAAGCTGAGGCTGCACTGAGGCTGCCTGCCTGGGCCCAGGCACATTTCTCTAGACCTTAGATTCCTTATCTGTAAAAAGAAGGTGACTTTAACACCTTGCCTACATGATGTCTTAAGATATTCAAATGAGATAATACACACTATAACCAGCAAAATGTTAATTATAAACTGAAAAACCTTTGAATTTCAGATAGAGTACAATGAATCTATGAAGGCCTATCATAATTCCCCTGCATACCTTGCTTACATCAATGCAAAAAGTCGTGCAGAAGCTGCATTAGAGGAAGAGAGTCGACAGAGACAGTCTCGCATGGAGAAAGGAGAACCTTACATGAGCATTCAGCCTGCTGAAGATCCTGATGGTAAGAGGAGAAAGTACAATTTTGTTTATGCTTTCTCTGAATTAATGTATGTTTTAATAATGTTTTTATTTTTTATCTTAAATGAAAAAGCAGTACTTAAGTGCCATTTCAATATCTTGATTATTTTGATTAAGATTTTTGTGTCAATTTCCCACAAGAAAAAGAAATATCCTTTCAGAACAGAAGATAGTAAAAACTATACTTACTGTTTATCAAAGTCTTTGTACTCAGAACTCCTGGAAGGCATTTGAGTCACAACTAGGAATTTGCCTTCACTACTTTTAAAAAGCTAAAAAGAAACTGTGGCATATATACACAATAGAATATTACTCAGCATTAAAAGAGAATAAAATCACGACATTTGCAGATAAATGGATGGAGCTAGAGAATATCATGCTAAGTAAGCCAATCCCAAAAAAACCAAAGGCCAAATGTTTTCTCTGATATGTGGATGCTGGTCCATAATTGGGGCTAGGGGTGGGGTGGGGCATGGGAGGAATGGAGGAACTTTAGATAGGGCAAAAGGGAGGGAGGGGAAGGAAGCGGGTATGGGGGTAGGAAAGATGGTGGAATGAGATGGACATCATTACCCTAGGTACATATATGAAGACAGGAATGGTATGAATCTACTTTGTGTACAACCAGAGACATGAAAAATTGTGCTCTATATGTGTACTATGAATTGAAATGCATTCTGCTGTCATGTACAACAAATTAGAATAAATTAAAAAAATTTTTTGAAAAGCTAAATGCCTTCTAGTTATACCCAGCTTTCTTTTTGATTCCTTGAATTTGCTGAATCAAAGATTCTTAAGAGAGAAAATTAATGAGTGGGTAGGAACATTATGAAATCTTGCTAGTAAATTCTGCAGTCCAACAAGAATTTACTAATACAAGTCATAAGGACCACTTGTGAGGACACACAGATTGTATATGTTCACACAAATGGCAGAGCTTTCTAATTGGGGTTCCATGAATAGTGTGCAGGTGTGCAGATTGCTCTCCGGGTTCTTTGTAGTCAAGCAGGGTCAGAAGCTACAAGGACCCCCAGAGACCGCCACCACAGATTAGAAGCACTCCTGTCCACTACCTAGCATGCTGTACTGAATACTGTGTTTTCTCTGTGTACACTATGATGTAGAAGAGGTTAGAAACTCCAACTATAAGCCACAAAAACATCAAGAAAATGAAATCCCATTTTAAGGTACAGTAACAGAGGGGAAGTTTGTAAAGAAGACACCAACAAGGGCAGTTTAAAGACATGAACAATATACTTATAAAGAGAAAACCAAAAATGAGATTTTTAAAAGAATGGACTGGGATATTGACAAAATGTTATAAATACACATAGTAAAATATAGAGAATAGAATATGGAATACAAATAATACCGATGTTAAGCAGTATCAGTAGCGCCAAAGGCACTAACATATGCAAATTTTAATTAAGGTGGGATGGTTAATGTAAGAAAAATACATAGAATTGAAAAATAAAAGCTCAGGTCTACAAATAATTGGGAAGAAGAGGATCTGCACAAGAGAAACACGGGCTAACAACATAGAAGCTGTAAGCAGAAGATAAAGCTTTCCTTAAGTGAAAGATAACAGCATGACTTGAGAAAGTCTTGCCTTCTGCCTGTTGTGTTTTTAAGTTTAAGAGAGGCTCCTAAGCCAACTAATAGGAAAGGGTACAATAAATAAGGTGCCAATGTAAGAATGACTGTAGACCTTAAACCTCATCCCTCAGGACTTGGGAGGCAAAAATAGACATACAACCAAGAGACAGGTGGCACCTGCTGACATCAGTAGCAAAGGACCAGAAAAAGGTTCACAAGACATATGCCGTGCTCCACACAAAACACTGAAGGCTTTTTAAAATGACACTTGAAAGACAATCACATGTAACAAACTGTAGGCCTCTGTGGCAGACTTTCCTAAAACATGATCCCACCCCCCACCCCCGACTCTGGTAGTATACTAAGAAGTTAGGTGCTAGAGAGCAAATTTGTTTTTATGTGTTTTGCTTAAGGGAAAACTTGGTATTTTTTAGATGAGTTAATTTAAAGGAAAGTAGATAATAGTACAGGTTGTTACCAGCTATGTGAAAAACTGTTGATGATAAAGCAAAAGCCAAGATTAAGAAAGCACTGTTGTAGTTATTAAAAGTAAGCATATAGTGCTGGGGTTAAGCGCTCTCCTAGCACGTGCAAGGCGCTGGGTTCGATCCTCAGCACCATATAAAAATAAATAAATAAAGGTATTGTGTCCAGTTACAACTAAAATATATTAAAAAAAAGCATATAAGCCAGACCTGCGTAGTACATCAGTGCACGTTGACAACAGTTGTGTGCATGTGTAAATTGACAAAAATTAGAAGTAATTTGGGAATTGAATATTTTTTTTTCCTAAAGTTACCTATGCCTTCGTGGTGTTTTGTTGTGATGGTGGTGGTGGTGGTGGTAGTGATAGTGCTGGGGACTGAACCCAGGGATGCTCTACTACTGAGCTATATCCCCACCCATTTTATTTATTTATTTATTTATTTTTTTGAGACAGGGTCTTCCTGAGTTGCTGAGGCTGGCCTCATACTTGTGATCTTCCTGCCTCAGCTTCCTGAGTTGCTGGAATTGCAGTTGTGCACCACCACCCGCAGCCTTTGTGACTTTTTGATCTAATAAAATGAAAATGCTATCTATGAGAATGCTAGAGAGGATTTTTCTCTGTAGTAATAAGTTGATTTTTACAAATGATCATTTTCATCAATTGTAAAGAGCTACAGCAACAAAGACTACACAGTTCATATGTTGTTTACCAATATATATGCTGCCACTATAGCTCAGTGGTAGAGCACTTGCCTACTGAGAGATATTGACATTCGAATTTCAGTTACTGCCATGGGGTGCAGCCTTCTTGTTGATACTGAAGCCTAAAGAGATATGGTTATATCTCATTTTTGTTTCATCCAAACCCTTCTCAGACTTCATGACTTAACAACTTTATGAGAAAAACCTTAGCCACAAAACACATTCTGTCTTCTATGTGGTTTTCACCAAGTGTCCGATACTGCTCTTGTCATGCTGGTCAGGCCAATGAGAGAGCACCACAGTTCCTCAATGTTAAATGTTAACATTGCTACACTCCTGGTTATGGTTACTGGCTACCTCATTTCTGGAACATCTTTTTCATTCCAGATTATGATGATGGCTTTTCAATGAAGCATACAGCCACTGCCCGTTTCCAGAGAAACCACCGCCTCATCAGTGAAATCCTTAGTGAGAGTGTGGTACCAGACGTCCGGTCAGTTGTCACAACAGCTAGAATGCAGGTCCTCAAGCGACAGGTCCAGTCCTTAATGGTTCATCAGGTACATCACAAACATTTGTTAAATAAATTGCTGCAAATCCCAGGTGACATGATTCTTATACCATGCATACATAAACTGTGAAATGTTTCATTCTAACCTGTTGTGATTTGGGAAAGATGGTTACGGGAGTGAACCATTTCCAGAGGTTTATTAAGTTTGTCATTAAAAACTAATAGAGACAGTACACACCTGTAATACCAGTTACTTGGGAGGCAAGTTTGAGGACAGCCTGGACAAAATTTTAAAATAAAAGATAAAATTAAGGGGCTGGGGTTGTAGCTCAGTGGTAGAGCACTTGCAATAAATAAATAAAGATATTGTGTCCATGTTCAACTAAGAATTTTTTTAAAAAAAAGTTAAAATTAAAGGACTGAGGATTTAACTCAGTGGTAGAGTGTCCTGGGTTCAATCCCCAGGACTGGTAGAAGGGGAAAAAAAACAAGTAGTAACAAAACCTTGTAATTGAAAGTATTTCTATTAAGAAATACATGTGCACTTGAGAATTTTAGACAACCTTTCCACATTTGTTGCTTTACTGAATACTTTTCCAAAAAACTCCTGAGGCCTGAAATAGTGTTCTTTAACATTTACTTTATTAATCACAGTCCTCTCTCTATACTTAATTTTATATTTTTAAAATTATAGCTAGATTCATGTTGTAGAATTTAAAATGTAAAATGTTATTTGTCACAGAAATTGAAAGAGTGATCATTAAAAAATGAGGTGTGTTTTCTGTGTTTGATATTTGCTTCAGAGAAAATAAGTAAGTAATCATAAAACCTGGTTACATGTCTTACAGCGAAAACTAGAAGCTGAACTTCTTCAAATAGAGGAACGGCACCAGGAAAAGAAGAGGAAATTCCTGGAAAGTACAGATTCATTTAACAATGAACTTAAAAGGGTATCCATTTGATGTGTTAACTATACTTTCATCACTGTTCCTGATACTTTCTTTTTCCTTGTTCTTTTTTCCAAAACTGTTTTTATTTAATATTGTTCACTTTGAAACAGAGTTAATGTCACTATACATATAAGACCTATAATATCTTTTATTTATGAAATTATTGCCATTTTCTGGAAAATTGCAATAAATTTGAGATATCATATAGTATATATGCACATATTAGGTCCATAGATGTTGGAGTCCTAATATTTTAAACTTCTATGCAGTCATGAATTATTTTCACTTTATTGGAATTATTCATCAGACTTTTAATGCAGTTTTCGTTTTGTATTAAAAAGTAAATCTTGTGTTTGGGAGTCTGAAATATAAATTAGAAACCTTATGAATAATTCTGTCACAGTATTGCCTCTCCCCCTGTAGTACTTGATGATACGGGACTGCACAAACAACTTCTTTATGTTTATGCAAAAGAGTTTCAGGGAAGACTGAGAAGCATGTTTTTTTTCCTCCTGTATACATATATTTATTTCATAGGCAAGAAAACCTACTTTTGAAGCAATTTATCTGGTTCAAAGGTTATAAGAAGAAAACATTACTAAAGGAGTTTTTTGGTTTTTTTTTTTTTTTCTGACTACTAGTTGTGTGGTCTGAAGGTTGAAGTGGATATGGAAAAGATTGCAGCTGAAATTGCACAGGCTGAGGAACAGGCCCGAAAAAGGCAGGAGGAAAGGGAGAAGGAGGCAGCAGAGCAAGCCGAGCGCAGTCAGAGCAGCATCACTCCCGAGGAAGAGCAAGCGGCAAACAAAGCCGAGGAGAAGAAGGATGACGAGAACATTCCAATGGAGACAGGTAAGCACCAGACACCGCGGGAATCGCCAGGGCCTTTTACAGCTATCTGTAATTTTGATTTTTCTTTCTAAATGCTCTTAGAGATCATTCTTGTCTCTTGAGTAATTCTCTATGTGACCTACCCAGTTCTTTCCAAATCCTAACTTTATGGTAGACCCACTGAAAAAGTTGGTATCACCATGGAACACCAATGACATATTGTCAGCAGTCTTGCCATCTGAGGTGTTTGACATTGTACTCAGATGTGCTGTTTTTTTTTAACTTGAGATTATGAAGTAGACCAGTATGATGGTTAAGGACCCTGGTCCAGGAGTCACACAGATTGGGGACTAGAACTAGAACCTCAACTGTGGATAGTTTTTTTAGTTTGTTTCCTCATTTGAAATTATCCTAGTACTGCTTCTGTGAACACATTCTGGTACTAGATTTAACATGGTGTTTACACTCAGCATTTTGACTTTTATCACTCATATTAATTATTCAAGGTGTGATCATTGTTCTTAAGATTGTGTCCTAGGATAGTGTCAGGCAAAGTAAAACTTATAGGCCAAATCCTGCCACACTTTTTTTTGTAAAAAGTTTTATTAAAACACAGCCACACCGGTTTGTGTATATATTGTATATGACTGCTTTGAGGCTACAGCAGTATGGTTGAGTAGTTGCAGCAAAGACTACCTGGCCCACAAAGCCTAAAATATTTACTATCCAGCCCTTTACATAAAAAGATCATTGACCCCATCCTAGAAGAACTTACTTCTAGGTAAACTGATTTTCCTGGGGAATAAAACATCCTGCAAGTTAGAAAATTACATGTAGGACTTGTATAAAGAACTGATTAACTGATTGCTTGAAATTTCCAGATCACCTCACTTTCTGGCACTATTTTCACCTACTTAGTGCACCATGTAAATAGAACTAAGCTGAGAGTAGTTATAGGAATACAGCCAGAGGCTTCTTCAACCATCATTGCCAGAAGTAGCGGGGACAGTAGTTATACTTGTACTCAAATGACAACCATCTGAAAAGTATTTAATGGAATATCAATATCTTCACCAGACATTTCTACAAAATATAATTCAGTAGATGGATATTTCACACGGATTTTAAGTTTTATCTTCTTAGCCTCATTTCTGTTTTTTTATAAACATGTTTTTTATCTTAAATTTGAAGCATGAGCACGTTTGTGGTTAAATTAAGAGCTTGGGGGGCTGGGGATGTGGCTCAAGCAGTAGCGCGCTCGCCTGGCATGCGTGCGGCCCTGGTTCAATCCTCAGCACCACATACAAACAAAGATGTTGTGACTGCTGAAAACTAAAAAATAAATATTAAAAAAATTCTCTCTCTCTCTAAAAAAAAAAAAAAAAAAGAGCTTGGGAATCAGGGTATGGGTCTTTGCTCATGTTGCAACTAGACATTACTCAGTCAGAGGTTTTGTCATCTGTGAATGGGGCCTTTCTTATTCTTAAGGCCTGTGGGTCTTTACTCAGATTCTATCCTTATAGCTTAAGAAAAAGAAATGAAGAAAATGAAGACTGCAAGCAAAACCCTCATGCTCTTAATTTCTTATAAGAAACAGCCCAGTGTGACATTTAACAAAGTATCTAAAATATAAATTTGATATTATTTCCACATCTGCCCTCTCACTTAATCCAAAAGCCACAGAACAGCACTGTTCAATAGTAATATACTGTAAGTCACATGACATTTTAAATTTCATACTAGTGACATTTTTTTAAAAATTAGGCAAAATAATTGACATTAATTTGATGATATTGTATTTAACCCAATATATCTTAAATAGTATTTCAACATGTAATCAACATTTTTAAAATTATCAACTTTTTTACATTCTTTTTTTCACACAATAAGTCTGAAATCCAACATGTATTTTATTCTTAGAGCACATCTCAATTCAAAAGCTAAATTTTCATCTAAAGTATTTAATCTGTGCTTAGATTTTTATAGAACCTACTGCTAAAGAAGTAGATTTTCACACCCCAGATTATGCCACACATACTTAAAAGCTCCTCATTGACACTGGCTCATTTCAGGTACTCACTAGCCACAGGTGGCTAATGGCTACCATATTGGACAGCACAGCTCCATGCTGTCCATGTCCATGTAGAGCAGATATTTATCTTCAAACTGACAGTGTCACGTGTGATTACAGAGGAGACACACCTCGAAGAAACAGCGGAGAGCCAACAAAATGGTGAAGAAGGCACGTCCACTCCAGAGGACAAAGAGAGTGGGCAGGAGGGGGTGGACAGCATGGCGGAGGAGGGGACCAGTGATAGTAACACTGGCTCAGAGAGCAACAGTGCAACAGTGGAAGAGCCACCAACAGATCCCATGCCGGAAGATGAGAAGAAAGAATAATTGTTGCCTTGTTTTATGTGTCCTAAATACTTTTTTAAATGAAAAAAATGTTTTTTGGTTTTAATGGTGTTATGTGGTCTGTGTATTAATTTTTTTCTTGTCTGTTTCATACCACCAAAGGCTTTTTGGACCATGAGTATCATGAGCCCAGTGGCACAGTCAGTCACCTTTCTTAACATTGTAAAGATGGCTTTTTTCTTTGGATCTTGTTGCTAGCCCTCATCTGCCGAAAGCCTCAGAATTTAAATTAATTGAGAAAACACCCACCTCTTTTAGAGAGTTATCCTTTGATGCTGCAGAATCTCCTCTTACAAATGCCTTCCTCCAGCTCACTTGGGTGCTTACCAAAGCCATAGCTTTAAACCTTCCCAGTCCCTATCAACAGCTTCCTGAAAGTCCCCTCTCTTGTGTATATGTGCACAGAGTACATTCTTGAGAACACAATCATGAGTGTGTGTATATTTTTTCACTTGCCCTTTTTATTTTAAATCAGTGTCAGATATCAAGAGTTGTGTTAAAGGCTACAGTGTTGCCTACAACCAACTATCCTTGGATCGTACTGATCCAGAGTAGTCTCCACAGTTACAGTAGTTCCTGGCTTATGACGTAGTCATTAAAATGAACATAGCACATTTTTGTTATCTATACTGCTTTTTTGTTCTGGTTAATATTGGATGCATTCTGGTAAATTCATCCTTTGTACTGGGGGAAAAAACACTTTTTTACCAAGTTTTCCAAAGACAGAATAGATCACAAAGTTAAGGAATGGAATGTTCTTGTAATAGACTAGATAACTTCATAATGATTAGCCCATTCCAGAAGAAAAACAGCTGGGAATTAAGTTCATCCACATGAAATTGTTTTACAATAAACAAAACATTCAAAACCTCAAGGCTCAGGATCCCATAGATCAGAGCCTACCTCCCTTTTTGATAAACTTAGTATAGTAAAGTCTTGGAGACTAGAAGAAAGATAGTTTGTCACACGTATGCTTCCAAAAAACTAGAATAGATTTTTACTGAATAGTGGTATATCTGATGGTATATGTTTCTTAAAGGTCCAAATGTAATAAAAAAATGAAAAAAATGGTCTCAGTGTTTTTAATGCCCTAAATATTTGTATGCAAGACAAGGATACAGTTTTGTCTCAATAGTGCAATGACAGTATGGAGGGGCCACTCGGTCATTTGAATTTACATACTCAGGGCCCTTGTCTGTAAATGCTGCAGTTATTAAGTTAATTTGCACAATACAATTGTGAAAATAAGTTTCCTTCCATGATAGTTAGGTCACATGCATTTATCTTGAGTAAGAATGCATTTATGACATTTAAATTTAAATTATCTTTGAAAAAAGCACGGGGCTGGGGATATAGCTCAGTTGGTAGAGTGCTTGCCTCACATGCACAAGGCCCTGGGTTCAATCCCCAGCACCACCAAAAAAAAATGGAAAAAGAAAAATAACATGGGTGTGCTTTGGGGGCAAGAATTCTGTACTAGAATGTCCTCGTTTATGATGAATTCACTTGCTCTGAACCCACAACACCATTAGTGACTGTAACTCCACATCATGCTTAGTCTCTTGAGAGGGAGCCTGATTTTGGGTGCAAGTATCCTTTGATGTCTATTCTAGATAATATGTGGTAACTTTTTCCTGGTTCCTTGTGAGAGAAACTGATAAATGAGTCCATTTCTAGGTGTTGGGCATTGCAGGAGAACTCAAACCGATCTCAAATTGTACAGCCTCCTCTGATATGGTGCAGAGAAGTTGTTAAATAATAGAGGTGGAAAACAGTGCAAGAGCAAGGTGTCAGATTATTTATCCAAGTCTCTTGAGAGGATGGAAGTGCTTCCTTTGCTGAGCTGGAGATGGGTGGCACTGGGAAAACATCTGCCTGGCCTAGTCCTGTCCTCGCCAGGCAGTTCTGGCAACTGGCTGAAAGGTGAATTAGGTGGAATTTGACAGTTTTTAACCTCAGGGGGCACAGACTATTCTTCTTTGTTAAGGTGATATGTACAGACACGGATATTTCTTAGTTTTGAGAATGTGAGATATAACATTAATTTTTCATCCTCATAGACATTGGGAAAATAGTTTAAAACTCTGAGCCTGTTTCAACTAACATAGATTGAACTACTTTCTATTTCAAGAGAATTTTTTAATATTTATCTTTTAGCTATTGGCGAACACAACATCTTTTGTTTGTATGTGGTGCTGAGGATTGAACCCGGGCCGCACGCATGCCAGGCGAGTGCGCTACCGCTTGAGTCACATCCCCAGCCCCAAGTTATATTAATTTTTAACAACAAATAGGGTTCCATGTCTCCCCAGTTTTCTCACTAGAATGCCAAATTCTCTTAACTCCCCACCTGTCAATAAGCATGTCTTTCTTAGCTGGGCGCCATGGCACATACTTGTAATCAAAGTAACTCAGAAGGTTGAGTCAGGAGGATCAAGTTCAAAACCAATGAATGACAAAAGCCAGTGACAAAGTTCTTAGAGACCCTGTCCCTAAATAAAATACAAAATAGGGCTGGGGATGTGGCTCAGTGATTGAGTGGACTTGAGTTCAATCCCAGTACAAAAAAAAAAAAATACATAAGCATGTCTTTTTTAAATGACTCCTACAGTACATGATAAATATGTCAAGTCATGCACAGCATACAGATATTTCTATCAACAGAGTACCACATATAAGATAGTGGTCCCATAAGATTGTAATGGAGCTGAAAATTGCCTGTTGGTAAGAATTTTTACTGTGTCTTTCCTATGTTTAGATACACCAAATGCTTACCTTGGTGTTACAAGTGTTAAAATTGTCTACAGTGTTTATTTAATGCAGTAACATGCTGTACATGATTGTCACTAAGAGCAGTAGGCTATAGCCTAGGTGTGTGGTGGGCCATACCATCTACTTGTGTATGAGTACACTCACTATGCCATTTGCATGACAACAAAATCACCTAAAGATGCATTCCTCAGAATATCCCCATTGTTAAGTGACACATGACTCTACAGATGTCTAAGAGATTTGGAAGAAATAAATAGATGCTATCTTATTTTAACATGGTAATGTGAATGTCAAATGGAAAAGATACAATAGGTTGACTTATTTTTTTATTTATTTATTTTTGTATTGGGGATTGAACTCAGGGGCTCTCGACCACTGAGCCACATCCCCAGCCCTTTTTCATATTTTATTTAAAGACGGGGTCTCACTGATTTGCTTAGCACCTTGCTTTTGCAGGGCCTGGCTTTGAACTCATGATTCTCTTGCCTCAGCCTCCCAGGCCACTGTGATTACAGGCGTGCTCCCCCATGTCTGACATAAATTGACTCTTTTAAAAAAGGAATCTGAGGTCATGTATATTTATTGAAGTTTAACTAGATGTGTCCAAATTTTTAGTTTTGATCCTCTACAGTTACATTCTAGTGTTGGATGTTAGATGGCGCTGACAGTACAAAACTCCTATCGCCTGCAGTTAAGCTTAAGCTTTAGTTTTTCGTGTGAACAAGCAATAAAGCTGAGATTACTTTGTTAAATCATTTCAGAAATAGTTCCCCTGCCCCAAGCACTACTACACACAGTCTCCTCACTTAGTTTCAGCTAGTGTGTATTTTGTATTTCACCGCTGGGCAAAACTTACTGGAAGAACTACAGTTGACTTCTTAATGATTTGCACATTAGAGGGTTTAATGCCTTTACAAATGATAGATAAACTGTGCAGTAACATGCTAAAATTATAATTTGACTTACTATGATGATATCTCTTTGATCATTATGGTAGGGAAAACACTTGAGTAGAAAGTAATGCCCAAGAGTTATTAGAAATCATAAAACTGCTTATAAATATCTATTAGCTTGAACCACAAGAAATGGCCAATGTAGGTGTTTAATCTAAAAAATGACAGTTTCACCTGCTTCAGCCTAATAATAATATTGCATTTTTTACTCCAAATGTAGCTCTTACTTGTAGCTTTCTGAGTGTGAAATGATGGCGATTTACCAGACTGGCCTATACTTCTCTAATAGCCTTACTAAATGTTGTTAAACAAAACCCTGATGAAAATGCAAGTCTCTCTCCAGTATTTAATAGCCAGGTTTCTAAAATAGACTAAGGTAAACATATAGTTAAACTATCTGACTTACATTCACATTGTCTTAACCAAAATAGGGGGGGTTTTATTCGGATTCGGGAATAAAAATTGTTATGTGGGGAGGGGAAATTCCCAAACAATAACTTGCTCATTACATAAAACAGTAACTGCAGATAGCAGCTCACTTTGCTGAGACACTTGAAAGTAGGAAAGGCTTCCTCATATTCCTTGGCATTAATGAGAGAGTGTTAAGGCAGCTACCTCCAGCACCCACCAGCACTTGGTCCCCAGGTCCCCTAAGGCATCATGCTCTACTTAAATATTTCTAGTCTCAGTGAACCCTTCATCTCTTAAGACAGTTCATTCCTTCCTTAGTTATCTAAAAATATTTCCTACTGAGCTATAAAATCCGTCTTTCTATAATTTCAGCCCCTGACTGATGTACCTTGGAGTCAAAATAGAATAAATGTAATCCTCTTTCAAGTAAAAGATCTTCAACTATTTCAAGACAATAGTTTATTTAATGCAGTAACTTGCTGTACATAATTGTCACTAGAAGCAGTAGGCTATAGCCTAGGTGTGTGGTGGGCCATACCATCTAATTGAGATCCTTTCATGAGACAGTTTCCCTTCTGATCACCTGTTGTCTCTCCTCTG